CGCTATTGATTATATAGTGAAAATGCATTAATTCTTAGAAAATCTTCTTCTCTGCTCCTGGGTATTAAATAAACTAATTAAGTTCATAGTTATGATGAGCCAGAGTGCCTCTACCAGAATTGTGAATTTTATGGCCCCAGGGTCAGGGGTAATGGTGTTAGGGCGGGGCTCTATTGATTATATAGTGAAAATGCATTAAATCTTTGAAAATCTTCTTCTCTGCTACTAGGTATCAAATAAACTAACTAAGTACATAGTTATGATGAGCAAGAGTGCCTCTACCAAATTTGTGAAATTCATGGCCCCAGGGTCAGGGGTTCTGTTGTTAGGGCGGGGCTCTATTGATTACATAGAGAAAATGCATTAAATCTTTGAAAATCTTACTCTCTGTTCCTGAGTATTTGATAAACTAACTAAGTACATAGTTATGATGAGCAAGAGTGCCTCTACCAGAATTGTGAATTTTATGGCCCCAGGGTCAGGGGTAATGGTGTTAGGGCGGGGCTCTATTGATTATATAGTGAAAATGCATTAAATCTTTGAAAATCTTCTTCTCTGCTACTAGGTATCAAATAAACTAACTAAGTACATAGTTATGATGAGCAAGAGTGCCTCTACCAAATTTGTGAAATTCATGGCCCCAGGGTCAGGGGTTCTGTTGTTAGGGCGGGGCTCTATTGATTACATAGAGAAAATGCATTAAATCTTTGAAAATCTTACTCTCTGTTCCTGAGTATTTGATAAACTAACTAAGTACATAGTTATGATGAGCAAGAGTGCCTCTACCAAAATTGTGAAATTCAAGGCCCCAGGGTCCGGGGTTCTGGTGTTAGGGCGGGGCGCTATTGATTATATAGTGAAAATGCATTAATTCTTAGAAAATCTTCTTCTCTGCTCCTGGGTATTAAATAAACTAATTAAGTTCATAGTTATGATGAGCAAGAGTGCCTCTACCAGAATTGTGAATTTTATGGCCCCAGGGTCAGGGGTTATGGTGTTAGGGCGGGGCTCTATTGATTATATAGTGTAACGTTTTTCCGATACGGTCTAAGGGGAATAGCTCTCAGTGTTTTCCATTTCTTCCAATGAATATTCTTGAAATGATACGCAAGTAATCAAGTTTACTGTTTATTCACAATTTAAAATCCGCAATAACATAAACACAGTAAGTATAAAAATCCAAATAAAAATTGTCCGAAGTGATCGTAATGAATATGAAAAACTGACTGACTGTCTGTCTAAAATCACTCCTATATTTATACATAAAACCCATTGCTCGCGAGGAGCAATGCAATGTAAACAAAAACCCATTGCTCGCGAGGAGCAATGTTATACAGTCCCTGAAACGTTCTACTTTCCCATTTTTCCGTTCGCTCACCGTTCGTTCAGTGTTCGTTCACCGTTCGTTCAGCGTGCGTTCACCGTTCACTCTTCGTTCACAGTATTGCGTTCACCGATCACCGTGTGCTTGCGTTCACCGTTCACAATACGTTCACCGTTCGCTCTTCGTTCCGTTTACTTTGCGTTCACCTTGCGTTCACCGTTCACTTATCGTTCAGTCTTCATTGTCATTCGGAACTCCGAAGTGAAAGGACTTATGTTTTAGATGGTAAGGATTTACATGTTTTTTTAATTAAATAACTTAGATATTGTGTTTGAAAAATAATTATTATTTGCAAAAATTATCTATAATATTTATATTTCTATTATTATAACTCAGCTGTTACTTATTTCATGAATTTTCCCTGGAAAATAATTAATACATTAAGTACCTACATGTATGTAGAACGATACTAAAATATTAACTTCAAAAAAAGGGCAATGTACAAATGTTTCACGCACGGCATCAATTTGATTTAATTTTAAAGAGGACAAATGATTAATAGATGTATAATAATTAATCCAAGTCTTTTACAGAACAAGAATACATAAAAAAAAAAAATTAATTCTACAGTAATACGTATTTAAACTACATGTAGGTTTGAGAATTATGAACAGTACTGCAAATATTCAGTTAATTAAATATCTATAGAGATAATTAAATTGATGGTGTGGTTTTAAATTTTAGAAAAGACCAACTGTTTAAAACAGTCTACTGTTAGAGAAGGAAAATTCCTTCCTTCACCGTACCTAAACATATGTTTAAAAAATATGTTTTTTGCCATTCAGTATAATTAAGACACCCCCCCCCCCCCCCCCCCCCCCCCCGGTGCCTTTTCTTCCGAAATAAAATTCTTATTGAGTTTTTACATTAAATTTAAATTATATTTAATTTTTATTGTAACACAAGAAAATCAGTCTTAAAACCAACATCAAACAGTCATTAAACAATAGTATTTTAGTAAAAACTTGTGCCGACAGAAGTATTTTTAATTGGCAGGGAATATGTTTCACATTCAAATTAAAACTTAATCCTTCCAAATATATATTCGAATTATTCTTTTCTGCAGGAATGCAAAAATCAGATCTAGAAATGAGAGGGAAAATATTAAAACTTCTTGGAATACTAAGTGACTCTTTGCCCTCGGCATGTTCGGTGAACGCAATTTCCACATCTCCACTGTGTCGGATTATTTTGATTGACAGCACATGCACGCTACTACAAGTGTAGCACGGACTTCCTGTGAGCTGTGTGAACTTGATAATGGAAAATAAAAGCCAATGATTACTGTCAAATGGATTTGTTAATCTAATAAAAAGATTACCTTTATTGCTTGGAATATTTAGGAAAAATAATAAGAATTATTATTTGAAGCAATATATATTTCGATAAGATGAGATATGACTTTCTCTCTCTCTCTCTCTCTCATGGAATCATGCCTTTTCTCTTTTGATTAAATCCTTTTGATTTAGACATCAATGCACATTTGCACATTCTTGTAAGGAGACCTATTATGAATGTAGTGTTGTCAACGCACGGACATTTCATTGCTCCTTATGTTACTGTGCAAACGCTCGGCTGCCTCTGTTAACCGCTATGCGAAATGTCGGAATGAACTGCCGCCATTTAGTTCCCGCTTCAGATTTTTGAATGTTAATATCTCGAGTTAGAATTTATAAATTTACAAACGTATTCAGCCTAATAAGAAATGTTTCTATCAACTATACTAATATCATTTGAAAATATTGAAAAACAAAAAAATTAAAGACGAGAGACTTCCTGCCCCTGAGCTGTGTGAACTTGATAATGTCAATTTTTGAAAATAAAAGCCAATGATTACTGTCAAATGGATTTGTTAATCTAATAAAAAGATTACCTTTATTGCTTGGAATATTTAGGAAAAATAATAAGAATTATTATTTGATACAATATATATCTGAGAATCGAGGGGGTTATCTCTCTCTCTCTCTCTCTCTCTCTCGTACATTTCTCTGTTCAATAAAAATTATGACAACACATTACTCATTTAGTTTTGAAAATTTTATCTACGCATGTATTACAAATAATTTGAATGCCTCTTTCCAACATCTTGACCGAGTGTAATCACGGCCGGGAAATGTCTACAGATACATGAAGAAGTTAGCAAAAAATAATCGTCATAAAAGAATAAAAAGGCACATAAATATAGAATATATTGCAGTAGAATCTAAATAAAACGAGAATTTTTATGCAGTACGATAACAGTCAATGTCAACAGATAATTGTGAATTTTAAAAAAATCCGTTATTTTACTCAGAATCACTTTGGCACGAAAATACATGTACGGTTGTTTCAACCCGTACAAAGTAATTAATTCATTCTATAAGTAGTAGTTTTATCTCCAGAAGTCCACATTATTTTATTAGTGAAAAGAATAAGCATAATTATTTACTATATTAGTAGATTAATTTATTTTTTAACTACACGCGGTAACAAATACACGTTTGACGGCGATTAAAATCATTTTATTAAAATATAGATTTAAACATAGGTATGTGCAGAAAAAAATGTTTTTATTTATTTATTTATTGATGAATTAATTAATTAATTTATTTATTTATTTATTTATCAATTGTTTATCTCAGTAGTAGTTTCATCTTCTAAAGTCCACATTATTTTATTAGTTAAAAAAATTAGCATAATTATTTACTATATAAGATTAATTTATTTTTTAACTACACGCGGTAACAAATACGCGTTTGACGGCGATTAAAATCATGTTATAAAAATATCGATTTAAACATACGTATGTGCAGAATTTTATTTTTATTATTTATTTATTTATTTCTCTTTTGTTTATCTATTGTTTATTTATATTTATTTATGACATTTGAATTATAGAATAAAAAAAAATAATTTCAGTGCAAGGAAAAGACCAAAGGCATTCCGAATAAATCGTTCAACTTGCGTTCACCTTTCGTTCACCGTTCACTTTGTGCTCGCGTTCGCGCTCCGTTCGCGTTCTGCGTTCACTCACCGTTCATCGTTCACACATCGTTCACCAAGTTGCGTTCACCGTTCACACATCGTTCACTCACCGTTCGCTCTGCGTTCGTTCACCGTTCGTTCAGCGTTCGTTCACCGTTTAGGTGGGAAAGTAGAATGTTTCAGGGACTGTATAAACAAATCATAGTTACATAATAATTCGCTACAACTCCCCCCCACTTAAGTTTTTGACTCCGTTCAAAATGATTAAACAAATAGACAACTAAAAATTAATTTCTTGAAGTTAAACATGATGGTAAAATTTAAAGTAAATACATAAACAATTAAACGTTAGCTATATAAACAATTATTTTCTCCAAATCAGTAAATTTTTACTACACAATCCATAATAAAATCATTTTGTTGAAACAGTAAACATATTAACTTACACCTAGCAAACTTAGTCTACGTAAACAATAAATCACCTTCGGGCAAACAAAGCACAAAAAAAATATTTACAAACATGACATTAAAACACAATAAAAATCAAAGTCAAAATAATTAAATATTATATACATAAAAGCTTGTTAATAGATCACAAGTCTTTTGTTAGAGTTCACAACTTTTCAGTATGGCCTTTAGTTTGTTACACGGTTCACAAGGACAAATCTCCCTTTACTATCCGCACACGGGCACTCGGCGCTAGGTGTCGCGGAACCTCATCCAGAATCTCCTCGGCAAGATCACGAAATTCTACTTCCTCTGTATTTACGTTCTCTGAGTAGATAATTTGAGATTCGCGATTAATCTCCTCGGTGCCGTCAGGATTAGTCCGAATCGTCTTCTCCATCACCAGGCATATGGTTGACGTCTCGACACTTACGCGATTGTTGTTATCGTCCATGTCATACATATCACTGTCCTCTGATAACGAGTTCGCGGCTTCGCTCACGTCTGGTGACTCGAGAGATTCTTCTGTTGGTCGCGCACACGTTTCTTCCTCTTCTATGTCGCCCAGAATTTCACTAACAAAAGCGTCATTTATTTCCGGCAGGTCTTCCGAATTCACTGAAATGATGTCTAAGTCCTGATAAGAGTCCGTAACGAGTGGCTGCGCAGTCTCAGCATAATGCATCTCTTCCTCATCGGAGGAAATGTCCTCATAAAAGTCACTCATAACGTACACCGGTTTCCGGGTCTCCATGAAGCTGTGTCGTTGAATCTTCTTCCGCGGGGTATTTAAGGCCTCACTGACGAAGTCCTCGTCTAACTTATGGACGTTGTTAAAATGTCTTTTAAGATTTGATTTTCTAGTAAAGAGTTTTTGGCAATATTCACATTTAATAACATTCAAATCACTTCTATGTTGTTCGCGTTGATGCTGGTACAAGTGACTATTTGTCGAAAACACACACCCACAATATTCACAAATCATCTGGAGAATGAAGTCTGGTACCGAAGTGGTCTTTTTATAACTCTCCCAAGTCGCGTTGTTCTAATAACGGCTTCTGATTGGCTGTCGGCATGTGACTGTTCCGCTGTGACAGTCTCGGGTCGAGGCTCTGGCAGTAACTTCAATCGTTTGGTCATTGGTCTCTCTCTCGCAGCTGGCACGCGACGTCGCAGGGCACCTGCTGTCTTGCCAGTTGTATATTCGGATTCAGGAGCTGGGCGCGAACGTTTATTCCCCCTGTATGGTTTGATATTGTCGGCATGCACCAGTGATTCATTTTGAAAATTGATTGAATGGGTACAGTGTACCCCTCTGTCAGAAAACAATGGGTCAAAACTCGAAATCAATGGGTCAGAATTTTAACAACAACTAAGAATGTGATATCAAGCAACATTTTATTTTTTTTTCAATAATCTTAAATAAAGAACTGTAAAACAGTACTTAAACACAAATTGAGAACATCATTGAACTATCACTCAGTAATGTCTAATCACTTGAACATGAGTCTGATGAGATTGAATAAGCCCTCCGATTTTTAGATTTCTTCCATACGCCCAGAGCCCTCTCTACAATGTCACCTCTCTCTAAATTGCACAGTTTTACCCTCATCAGTTTGGACTGAGTTTCTACTGTGAGCCTATTTCTCAGTTTAGTAAGAATTTGGTTTTGCACAGAAAAACCCCTTTCACACCCAGCAGTGTGAACTGCTGATGTGAGAGCTAGCCTAGCTAATGTTAACAGATTGGGAAATTTCTCTTTGTGGTAACGATTTATCAAACTCCATAGTTGTTGCAGAGAATCCCTAGGGAATTTCTCTGGGCAACTGCATCAATTAATGGTTCACTTGTGTTACTCTTGGCAACTTTATCCTCCTTCCAATGAACTGTTTGCTTTTCACCAAAAAACTGACAGAGTGTGTCCATTTCTTCCATCCCAAATTCTTCCAGTCCTTTAGAGTCCAGAAAGCTGACAGGCCTCAATGCCAGAGCACTGAATGAAGAAAGAAGATCATTGGATGGAAATCTGAAACAGAAAATGAAATAAAATTCATTATCTTAATTTAACATGTTTTGTACTGATTATTATACATGACACAACTGACTTCAGCTTAATTTATAGGAATTCATTCTATATCCGTTTGTTAAAAATACCTTGATGCAATGTTATCCTTCATGGCATCAATAAATCTTTCTGTCAGAGCATGCAAGTTCAGGTTTGTATTTGAAATGAGATGACCTTTGAACAATCCTGACTTTAGGTCTTCCTTCAAGGACAGAATGTATGGTGAGTCCATGGATTTCACTTTCTCTAGATCTCCAATGCATAATTCAAGTTTGACCTTGATAATTAATAAATAATCAAATAAATAAAACATAATTTAACTGGAATCAAATGATAAATTAATTTTTAAATTATAACAATTTAAGATATCTTAGATTTATTATTTCTTTTTCTTTATTCAAATTTCAACCTAAATATCATCTCCCTGAGTCCAATCATTTGACCCCTTCCCCCTTCATAAAGAGCACCATTTGCTAAAGAAAAGAAAAGAATACCCTAACTAATGCCAAATCCACATTTTCTGTTTGGAAGAACTGTGAAAGTACGGTAACCGGTGCCATAGCATCCATCATCATATATGTTATAGAAATGAAAGTCTCACTGGCAATCTGCAAATGCAAATGAGAAAATTCTAATTACATAAAAAAGTTAAAATTCAAACTTAATGTCTAGGATACTATAGAATGTTTTTTTTTTTTTGTAGTTGTTCAATATTTGCTGTTGTTGTTTTGAACTGTTAATTTGCTAATCAATCAGAAAGTATTCACATCTTTATTGCCATCTATCTGGGCAAGGTAGGTCAGCAGACTGTCCAGGATCCTCTGAACTGTTGACAGTGCATTAAAATAAGAAAGCCATCTTACAGAATGTATCTCCTTGATTATCAGTCGGGGATCGTCTAATACTGTCTGAATTTCCTTCAGCTTTTCCTGACGTTTGGCGCTGCCCTATAATGTAAACACAATAAAAACATTTCAAATTTCATAAATCATCAAAAAAAGGTTCTTGGAAATTGGCTCTTAAAGTTGTTTTGTTTTTTTTTTTTTTGGTTTGATATTTCATTTACCATATTTTACCTTAAAGTAGTAAAATAAATCTGTCAGGACTTGTTGGTGGCTTTGCAATTGTGGAATGTTGGCAGCTGCTTGTGAAGTACAGAGGGCAAGGCGATGGGCTACACAATGCACATTGACCATATGTGGATTTTCCCTTTGCATGAGAGCGGCCGCTCCTATGATATTGAAAAAATAAATAAAAACATAGCAACAAAAAGGAAATAAGAATTTTTTTTATCGAAAAACAAGCTCATTGTTGTAGCTTGTTGAAATAATATCATTAGTAAAACACATTTATTATTACCATTTTGTTTCCCAGTCATTGCAGATGCACCATCAGATCCCATGGGAGGCTGGTCCCCTTCTCGATTTCAAAAAGTGCTGTCTTTGCACTCCATATTTGTCACATATAGTGTTGATGGCACCATATCCTCTGATATTGTTTGTGCATATACTACCAGTAACTTCATCATCAGTTTGGTGATGCATTGGTCTCTCTCCGAACTGGCACGAAATGCTTTCATTCACCCAACAAATGACCTCAAGGGAAGATTTTCTGTCATTGACGGAGACAGCTTCATCAATTTTAAATGACTGTTTATTTTTGCAAGCTATCATGTCCTCTTTGAGCGCAGGAATACACAGAGCCAATTGGTGATCTTGCAAATTCACGTGACGCTGTAATGTGCTATGTTGGAAATTTTGATTCTTAGATAACTTGTGCATACTATTAGTTTTGTTATTGTCCGTACATAATTTACAGTACATGTATTCACAAGATGTAGATTCGTCTTTCTCTAATCTAAGCCAGGAATAAATTGACAGCCATTTTGATTGAAAATTTCTCTGCACTTTTCTCTTTACTTTTTCTGCATCTGAACTCTGAACGTTTTGTTGATCATTTTTGTCATTGTTGTTGTTAATATCGCTAACTGTACCGACGTATTTTGGAGGAGTTTGATTACTTTTTTGGGAGGCATACCTGCGTATAGCACGCTTAAATTGTTACGATTTTTCGAATATTGTCGGTTGCCGTTTTATTGCAGCATGTTTTTCCCTCGTTGCTACTATCACAGATGCAGTTGGAGTTTAAAATAGAAACTGGAATGTTGAATTTGGTAACACACTGCGTATCGTAAATTACTAGCATCACTTCACAATAATGTTGACCATGGGCCCTGTCCAGTTCCTTGCTAGTTTTGCTTTCGTCCCTGTAATAATTTGGCATTGATTTCGCCTCACTTTATCTCCAATGTCATAATTCACATTACAAACATTTCTGTCATAATAATGTTTTTGTCTTTGCGATAATTTTCCTGTAACTTCTCTCGCAAGATTGTGCACAAAATATAGTTCACTTTCCAAGTTTCTCACATATTCCGAATCATTTTTCCGAACTGGTTCTTCTTCGGTTAATTCTGTAGTCATAACATCTAAGGGTAGTGAGGGCTCTGTACAACACCATTCTATACGGAGATATAGTCGTTGTTTCATGGGGTGTACTATTATAGGCCAGAACGATCCCGTCTATGTACTTGTCCCAGTCTGTCTGATGAGCTGAAATGTATTTCGATAACATTTCCTTTATAGTTCGGTTTAATCGCTCTACCATCCCGTCGGACTGCGGATGGTAAGCAGTTGTCCGTGTTTTGTTGATCTGAAGTAATCTGCACATTTCTTGAAATAGTTGACTTTCAAACTGTCTACCTTGATCAGAGTGTATTTCTAACGGACATCCATATCGTTTAATCCAACCTTTGAATAATGTTTCTGCCAAAGTTTCAGCTTCCAT